GTATCCAGCCCAGGGCCTGCCTTCGATACATTCAAACAGGCTGCCCAGGGCGTGGGTTCTTCCAACCAACTGGTGCTGCGCAACTGCCTGAATTTCCTTGAGTTGCGTGGTGACCGAAATAGGGGCCCTCGGGCCCTCGTCGTGCCTGCCTTCACTTATAGGGCGGCCGACGTGATACTTGGCAGGGCCTGAAAGGGGCTCATAGGGGCATAAGCCTCGCATATATATTTTGAACGAAGTTGTCCAGAATTCTGGAGTTAAAAAGGTCTTCAACATCCAGGTCTAACCATCCTACCAGACACTTGGGTCCTCCACACGGGGTAGCCAGCTTTATTCTCAAATTTAAAATTTAAATATATTAGAGAAAAAGAAGAGGAAAGGTGCAAGCATGCAATCTTTTTTGACCTTTTTTTTTCTGATGCCGAGTTTGTTCGAGTCCCAAAAAAAAAAAAACATAAAATTCAAACTCACCGGGAATGACAACCAGATGACAGCTTCCCACTCCTCCCAACTAAGGCCCGTGACCTGTACAGTCGTCACCACACAAACATGTCCAGTCCGAGAATCGAACACACAACCAACAGCTTGTCAGGCAAACCCCTAACCAATAAGGCTAAGCGGGCCGGGGGCGAAAGTCAAGCCCCAAGACGAATACTTCAACCCCCCCCCCCCCAAAAAAAAAGCGCGGATCACTAATGGTTAACGGGGACCCCCATTTTCAGGTCCTGATCAACAGACCCAAAAGGGCCAAAACTGAAATTACGGTTTGGGGTTGCATGCCATGGCGGGCCTGGGTGCGCATTCGAGAAAACTTGATGTACACAAGAAGAAGAGGCAGGTTGCCCTTCCCGACAGTCGTTACTATCAGTTGTCTGTATAAACAAGTAAGCATGTTGTTCAGGGACGCTGGGCCCGGTTTCCAGCAGGTGCTGCTCTCCTAGCAAAACAGAAAAGAAGGGCTGAAAAAGTAAAATCATACTAACTAAAATTCAATATTGTTACTGGTATTCATGCATATGCAGTGCAACGAAACATGCAATGAGAACACCCATTAAGCTTTATTTTTGTTCTGATGGGATGCTCGACCCGGTTCCCAGCAGGTGCAGCTCCCCACCAATCGATGGAGCCTCCGCAAGGTGGGTACCACCGTCTTCACCCGGATAGAATCCCCGGTCATTCTAGCTGTATATGGACTGAAAATTGCACCAAATCCACCTATAGTGACCGGGAATTTTAGGCGAGAGCGGTGGGTGCTTGTATCACCCGTAATAGCCCCCCTCCCCCCACCCCCCACCTCAGCAAGGTTTGCTTTCAAAAAAAAAAAAAGAAGACAAAGGCAGAATGCAACATCTCCCAGAAGACCACCAGACATGATTGAGCCGAGTAGAATCAGAAAGTCAAAGCAAAAAGCACACCAAATAGGAACGAGCTATACATCGTTCAAGTCTCTTGATTAAGAAAGCAGTTCCACCGCCTCCATTCAGCAATACAACAACAACATAGTCTCCCTACTGGCGGCCTGACCGCCCTTTCCTCTGCTCCTACCAGCCTACCGTGTTCCCCCAAACACAGCGCACCCTGATTTTGACTGTATCAGGCCGGAAACATACCTTGTATACGTTCATTTTGAGGATGCGTTATGTTCCGAGAGAGACCGTAGCCTATCTAGATTTCACACACTCTGACCATCATGTGTCAATCACTTGCCTACCGTCTTCCCCCAAACACAGCGCACCCTGATTTTGACTGTA